GTTTGTATGTTTGTTTCTTTGTTGTTTAACGCCACACTCAGCAAAATAACAGCTATATGACTTCGGTCTGTCAATAATCAAATGTGGACCAGACATTCCAGTGATTGACATCATGAGCACCGATCTAAGCAATTGGGATACGATGACATGCATCAACCAATTCAGTGAGCCTGACCACCCGAACCCGTTAGTCGCCTCTTACGACAAGCATAGTCACCTTTTACGGCAGGCATGGGTTGCTGAAGACCTATTCTACCGCGGATTGATTCCTTATGATCGACATATGATCGAAAACTGCACTCTCTACGTGTTTACTCGATCAGAAGTCAGCGTGTACTTTTCACAAGTTATTCGATCCCCTTTGATAGGAATACAATAGAAATCCATGCATAGCACATGGATGTTGAAGTAAACCAATACTAATTATTTTCAGAATAATTATTCATGTGATTTTCACAGGTTTTCTCCAATTCCTGTGAGTGATTTACATCTTCGATCGAAATCAACACCGTGCATAATACATCAATATTAGTGTTTTTTCCACAATTCACAGGCTGATCGATTCTCTTGGTCCGGCCGAAGGCTGATAATTAGATTCAAGGTCAAATTTCATTCAAACTTAGCAAGGTCTTTAACCAATTAATGTTATATGAGTAATTGCAAATCGAAACATTATTTTCATTCTTTTGTTGCACTGTATATGTGTTCAGATATCTACTATGGTGACTGTATGCCTAAATGGATTTATAACCAGCCGGGTCAAAGTTCGCGAATGAGCCAATCAAAATCCATGCCAGTGTTCTATAGTGTTTTGTACAGAAAGAGAATTCCATTGTGGCGTTATATGGTCACGTGTCACATAAGGTCTACCAGACGCTGATTATAGTTCGATGGCTTCCTTTAAGTAGGTGTGAGTGAGTGAGTGTTTACGCACCTTTAGCATTATATTCCAGGAAGGGGACACTTGAAATTGGCTTCACGCTTTGTACCCATGTGGGGAACCGAACCGGGTTTTCAGCGTGACGAGCGAACGCTTTAACCACAAGGCTGCCTTACCGCCCCTGAGTATGAGTGAACCAGTCGGAACAACAGATAAAATACTAGTGCATATACTTAGCGCATGCTCTCTACTTAATAACTCACGTTCATAATAATGAGATTATGATTTCTTATCTTGATATCCTTGTATAAATCTGATTAAATAATTAAGTATTCACAAGTACGTCAACTTCCTGTCGTTACTCGCATGCGCAAGGTGTAAATGGAACGTGGTTTTCTATCCAGCAATGTTCACAATGAAAAATTCCACCTTTGTACAAAGAGTGCTGATGTATTTATAGAAGCCCAATTACGATTGACTATGCCAATCCGCTATGTGATGTGCCGCCTCCGTGGTCTTCTGGTAGAGCGTCCGCCCGGAGAGCGGAAGGTCCGGGGTTCTTGGTACTTGTTGTTACCCTGTCTGGCGCTCGGCATTAAGGGGCTAAAACAAGGACTGGTTGGCTCGGAATCAGTATACTGTGTCTGAGTGGGGTATTCATGTTAAACTGCGGCATTGTATCTCAGTGAGCTAGCACTATAAATCGGCATCAGTCCGGACTAGTACAAGCAGCCACACACACACACACACACACACACACACACACACACACACACACACACACACACACACACACACACACACACACGTGCATGCACATCGCTATATAAGTGCAATAATCTTGGACGCGACGTGAAACCAAATTTCACCTCACCTCACCGCTATGTGATGTTATATCATTTCGCGCATTCCAGTTATGATCAGCATGAACACAATGCTTTTGTGTAGATTTTGTTGCTTGTATCCATGGAAACACAATTCTTAGGCTTCACCGACCCTCTTTAGATTTCGCTATCGGTGGCATTTTTAACAGTTTGTAATAATTACTTCAGGTTGTGATTACAGTTGTGTATCACTGATTAGATTTTATTCTATTTGATTCTGTGATAGATCGTTCATGATATTAATTTCTCCGCTGACAAACATTCGTGATTCTAATTTTGGAAGCTGTTTGCGTTTAATCTTTGGTTTGAAAATATAACCTGTAATTGCATTAATCCTTGAATGTGAGACATGCATTAAGTGTTTCCCTTTTCAACGTTTCATGTACCACATAAAAGGGGCACCGGAGATATTCATATGACCATAGATCATATGTCATGGCTGGTGGGTATTGTAACGCACAGCGTTCGAATTGTGGGAGCTCATCATGAGTACCTTTGCAATGTCAAACATTTATTTAAAAACGGTATAAAACAGTATATAAATGTTTGACATTGCAAAGGTACTCATGATGAGCTCCCACAATTCGAACGCTGTGCGTTACAATACCCACCAGCCATGACATATGAGTGAGTGAGTACGATTTTACGCCGCTTTTAGCAATATTCCAGCAATATCACGGCGGGGGGACACCAGAAATGGGCTTCACACATTGTACCCATGTCGGGAATCGAACCCGGGTCTTCGGCGTGACGAGCGAACGCTTTAACCACTAGGCTACCCGACCGCCCCATGACATATGAACTGTGGTCATATGAATATCTTCATACATATATATCGAACTGTTTTTAAATAAATGTTTGACATTGAAAAATGGTAACCTTTTTAACTATATCCGGTATAGACATATGTTATTTACACATGTTATATTAAATACCCGTGGTGTAGATCCGGGGTAGAATAGGTCTTCAGGAACCCATGCTTGCGGTAAAAGGCGACTAAGCTTTTCGTAAGAGGCGACTAGTCGGATCGGCTGGTCAAGCTTACTGACTTGGTTGATGCATGTCATCGTATCACATTTGCGTAGATCGATGCCCATGATGTCAATCACTGGATTGTCCGGTCCAGACTCGTTAATTTACAAACCGCCGTCATATAGCTGGAATATTGCTAAGTGCGGCGTTAAAAGCAAACAAACAAATACAATCACAATTTTGTTCTATTAAAATATAATTTGTGAATAATTTATCACATATTTTCTGATCGATCCCATGAAATAACCACAGTCTCTAATAAAATATATTTTAACCACAACACAACAATATCGCATGCTCCATCGCAATCACTCTAATGTAGCGAAGCCATTTATATATTGAAATAAAGCGACAAAACCCTTTCCATATTCATCAGAAATCTCTGCCAAAAAGCAGAGTTGACTGTATTCCGAATATATATGTGCATGTGCTTATCAATCACTATCAAATGGGGGGCGGTCGGGTAGCCGACTGGTTAAGGCGTTCGCTCGTCACGCAGAAGACCCGGGTTCGATTCCCGACATGGGTACAATGTGTGAAGCCCATTTCTGGTGTCCCCCGCCGTGATATTGCTGGAATATTGCTAAAAGCAGCGTAAAACCATACTCACTCACTCACTCACTCACTATCAAATGGTGATGATACCAGATGTTCGCGATAAGGTGAGCTTATCCTGCCCTCACCGGTGATACCCATCACAAACACATGCAAAGGCAAGTGAAGAAGCACGGAAACATATGGTACAAGTCAAAATAGGGAATTGCATCGGACATAACCTTTTTCATTATGCGTCAAATTTGGAAATGTTCTCCACATTTCTACCATGAAACTTTATGAAAGCTTTGTTGAGGCCTTGGGTGTTATCTTGATCAAACAACTTCTTTCTTGGTTGAAAGAGCATGTGGCTCAAATGTTGTATAACAAAAGGCTGGAGCTGCTGGAATATTGCTCGACGTGAAGGGAAAGTTGACTATTGGAAAGCTGAAGTCATCCCTCCTATCATACAGTCTTATGGAGAGTGTTTTGTGAGTCTGAATCTTGAAATAGTTATCATCAACTCGATCCCTCCCAAAATGAGGTGAGGTGAAATTGGATTTAACGTCGCGTCCAAGATTATTGCACTTATATAGCGACGTGCATGCACGTGTGTGTGTGTGTGTGTGTGTGGCTGCTTGTACTAGAACAGACTGATGCCGATTTATAGTGCTAGCCCACTGAGATACCATGCCGCAGTTTAACATGAATACCCCACTCAGACACAGTATACTGACTCCGAGCCGACCAGTCCTTGCTTTAACACCTTAATGCCGAGCGCAAGACAGGGTAACAACAAGTACCATCTTTTAACGTCTTTTGGTATGACGCGGCCGGGGAACGAACCCCGGACCTTCCGCTCTCCGGGCGGACGCTCAACCACTAGACCACGGAGGCGGTCCCTCCCAAAATGAAGAATTAAAATATATTCATAGTTTAATTTGTCATTTCTATTCATCATGCCGTATAGAGAATCTGTATGTCATAGATCTAAATTTGAAACAGATGAGGAGGTCTCTTTGCCGGAATAAGCTTGTTTTGGTGGTCTCTTTGCCTGAATAAGCTTGTTTTGGTGGTCTCTTTGCATGAATAAGCTTGTTTTGACCGTGCCAATCAGAGCAGATAGTCTTACTAACTGTCTTACACCCAACTTTTACTCAGAAGTTCTCACCGAGGTATTCCAGCATTTCATATATTATTTTCTCAGTAAACATCTAGGGCATTTGCTTTCATTTTTTAGTCACCATCTTGTATTTTATATGTCATGCAAACCGTATAGCCATGCATGCCCAATAGTATCTATATTGATTCATTTATAGACGCGCGTTGGTTTCTTGCTGAGATTATCGAGTCGCGTAAAGCATTGTTCGGCACATCATCAAACCAGATCCATCCCAAGAACGGCTCGAGACAGTCGTACACGAACCCGCTGGTGGACAGCCAGGAACCTACCTGTGTCTGTGATGGTTCTTCTGGTTTTGCTTCAGTTTGTCGCTGTCTATGGCCAAGGGGGCATCAGTTCCAACTCGTTTGTGGAAGTGGACATATGTTCGGTCGTACCTACCGTGTTTATTGAAACAAAACTGACGAAATCTAAGCTAGACTGTGCCTCCTTCTGTGTGGTTACGGAAAACTGTAAATCGTTCAGCGTTAGTAGAACGCTGCCGAGGATGTGTGATCTGAATACTGACATCCTGGTGGACACCGGGTGTTCGTCCATGACGCATTCACACTACAACATGATATCGGTAAGTTAGATATTATCATGGACAATTTTACTGCCCCATTTCGTCAGGACCGCCTCCGTGGTCTAGTGGTAGAGCGTCCGCCTGGAGAGCGGAATGTCCGGGGTTCGATCCCCGCCGCGTCATACCAAAAGACGTTAAAAGATGGTACTTGTTACCCTGTCTGGCGCTCGGCATTAAAGGGCTAAAACAAGGAGTGGTCGGCTCGGAGTCAGTATACTGTGTCTGAGTGGGGTATTCCTGTTAAACTGCGGCATGATATCTCAGTGTGCTGGCACTATAAATCGGCATCAGTCCGGACTAGTACAAGCAGCCACACACACACACATACACGTGCATGAACGTCGCTATATAAGCGCAATAATCTTGGACGTGACGTTAAACCCAATTTCACGTCACCTCACCTCACCCATTTCGTAAGAGACTATGTAAAATGTATTGTCATCGCTGAATGACTGATACGTTACCGGTAATGGGTATTGTATTTCAAAAGTGCAATGTCATTTTTGTTATGGTTACATTGTGTGTTTATTACATTGGTATGCAAGTTAAAACATTTTATTACACTTTTGTGCTATTTTTCAAATATCGCATGAAACGCTCCCAAATCCAGTAAACACTCCCGACCAACTTCTGGACCAATTTCCTTTTGTATCACATCAGTGTACAAAGAGTATGTAACTGTCTATTTACTATTATCAAGAACGTTTTAGTTCGATGGACGTTTGAAGTAATTATGTTGTCTGCCATGTCCACCCCTCGATCTCTGACAATAAATGTTGGACTTCAGCAACCCATGCTTGCCGTAAAAAGGCGACTATGCTTGTCATAAGAGGCGACTAATGGGATCGGGTTGTCAGGCTCGCTGACTTGGTCGATGCATGTCATCGTATCCCAATTGCGTGAATTGTGCTCATGATGTCAATCACTGGAATGTCTGGTCAAGACTCGATAATTTACAGACCGCCGTCATGTAGCTGGAATATTGCTGAGTGCGGCGTTTAACACCAAACAAAACGAAAACAAAAAACATTTACTTTTACTTGTTTATGGTTATAATAAGCGTCATTCTTTATCAATTTCTAAAATCACCAAGGCGCTTTTTACGGCGAACACGGTATATTTCTTTTTTTCATGTTTCCCCTCTTTATTCTTCCCCACTTCGAAGTCTCTGTTGTTGTTCGTCAATGCTACCATTCTAACAAACACAGTTCACAACATATAACTATGGAATACTGTAAGGGACATTCTCGCGATCTCGCATTCTCGCGATCTCGACCTTTGGAAACGAGCTAAATATGCCCAAAACACGAGAATGCGAGATCGCGAGAACGCGAGATTTCCAAAGGTCGAGATCGCGAGAATGCGAGATCGCGAGAATGTCCCTTACAGTATTCCATATATAACACAATGCAGTCAAACTTGATGCTTCACTCGTGAATTTACCGAATCAAATTATAGCCATTTCAATAGTTAACGATTGAGATTGGCACAGTGGCGCCTCTAGCAGCTATGCAAAGTTGCGTCCCTTAGCTGTATCAGGATCCGTTGCTCCAAGGTTTGTCAGCACCATACCAATCATCGTACACTCAATAGAATCTGTTTCGTCGGATAATCTAGATTAGTGTTTTGTTAAAATCTCGACCCACAACAGACGAGCTTAGCGCTGCAGTAGCGTTCGGGATAAAGCGACATCGTAGGTAGGTGGCTACTATTTACTGAGTGTCCTCACAAACTAATAAGCTGTTGAGGCGGTCGAAGTGATCAGTTCATGTTTTTTAACCCCTTCAGTGGAATAGTAATAATGGAACTAATATAGACCTTTTAACATTTTTTGTAGGACAGCCCCTGTCTCCATGGTGGGGTCTATAACACCGCCGCACAAAAATGTCGCTGTTACAATGGCTACGTGGGAAAATACTGTGAGAGGCTTATGTACGGTGAGTGAGTTAGTAAGTGTGAGTGAGTGAGTTTGGTTTTACGCCGCTTTTAGCAATATTCCAGCAAGATCACGGCGGGGGACACCACAAATGTGCTTCACACATTCTATCCATGTCGGGAATCGGGTCTTCGGCGTGACGAGCGAACGCTTTAACCACTAGGCTACCCGACTGCCCCGAGTGAGGGAGGTTTGTTCAAGATGCTCTCTGTCCCAACTTAATCTCGGATGATATACAATGATGTTTACTTCTTTGTTGAATCCCTGTGAAGATCCGGGTAGAATTGGTCTTCACCAACCCAAAAAATGTTCCATGGGAAAACAGCCGGCCGGATAATCGGGCTTCCATATGGTCATTTTCGTCCTGTGGTAAAAAAGTAATAAAATATTATTCAAAGCATGGCAATACGAAATTAGTTAACCTGTCGCCATGCCATTTTGTCATTTTTATTCTTGGGCGTCGTGACTACTAGCACTACAGCTGCGAAACAACGACAAGAATGTGCTCTGCTTTTATTATCCGATTTTTATATTTATCTGTCGACCATCCATACAAAGTAGATATGTCTACGGCCCGTAAAGATCCGGGGTAGAATATGTCTTCAGCAACCCATGCTTGCCCTAAAAGGCGACTATGCTTGCTGTAAGAGGCGACTAGCGGGATCAGGTAGTCAGACTCGCTTATATGGTTTATGCATGTCGTCGTATCCAAATTGCTTAGATCGATGTACATGATGTCAATCACTGGTTTGAGTGATCCAGACTCGGATTATTTACAGACCGACGTCATATAGCTGGAAAACTGCTGATTACGGCGTTAAACAAACAAACTATGGTATAAACACAGGTTTGGTCCTAACACACAGAGTATTATAATCAAGTTGGATCATATTGGTCGGACCGCCTCCGTGGTCTAATGGTAGAGCGTCCGCCCGGAGAGCGGAAGGTCCGGGGTTCGATCCCCGGCCGCGTCATACCAAAAGACGTTAAAAGATGGTACTTGTTGTTACCCTGTCTGGCGCTCGGCATTAAAGGGCTAAAACAAGGACTGGTCGGCTCGGAGTCAGTATACTGTGTCTGAGTGGGGTATTCATGTTAAACTGCGGCATGGTATCTCAGTGAGCTAGCACTATAAATCGGCATCAGTCCGGACTAGTACAAGCAGCCACACAAACACACACACATACATGCACGTCGCTATATAAGTGCAATAATCTTGGACGCGACGTTAAACCCCATTTCACCTCACCTCACCTCATATTGGTCGGCCACAATATCTTCTTTGTACTCGACTGTACATGAGTGATTGTATATCATGGATTCTCGACATGGATGTTCACATTATCGACCACTGGTTCAGACACGAATGCTATTTGCTGATCACCTTGTTATAAGCTGACAATATTGTTTATCCCGATTTAATTACAGAGGCCATGAGGTAGCCTAGTGGTTAAAGCGTTCGCTCGTCGCGCAGATGACCCAGCTTCAATTAACATGTGTGAAGCCCATTTTCTGGTGTCCCCCGCCGTGACATTGCTGGAATATTGCTAAAAGCGGCGTAAAATCATAGTCACTCACTAATTGTTTACTACGTACTGTCTACCATTTGAACTACGATGCAATTAAATTGAATATTTACATATTTTACTATTTCAGACTGTTACGATGGCCTTCAATCTGGACATTACGATGGGCAGGAGAGTGGATTTTATATCCACCCCAGTACCTCACCCTCGCCATTCAGGGTGTTTTGCAGTATGAAGTATAATGCAGGGCTTTATATAATGAGTAAAGCGGCGTGGTACAGCCCTGAAGACTTCAACCGTGACTGGGATGCGTACAAGGTCGGCTTCGGGAACCTGGAATCTGGCGAAAACTTCTGGCTTGGCAATGAGAAAGTATACTTTGCTTCAAACAGTCGGAATATGACGTTAAATATCGAAATACTCCACGGGGACAGCTTTAATTTCAGACAACATTACTACAAGGGATTTAAGGTAATCAGTTAGCATGTGTGTGTGTGTGTGTGTGCGGTTCGTATATTCCACCAATACTACGGCATAAATAAATCGAATCTGGATCAGACAAACCAGTGAATAATATTATGAGAAACGTTCAACGCCGTCAGTGTACACCGTTCCATTAAGTCAACTCCTTCGACCAACCCAGGGCCCCGTTCCTCAAAGCAATCGTAGCGCTAAGGTGATCATAAGTCCGATACTTTAACATAGGCTTACGATCACTGTAGTGTTTAAGATCGCTTTGAGGAACGAGGCCCAGGTCCTTTGGGACCATTTCTAACCCTGCATTCCTTCTTATCTTATACCGCTTGATCCATTATTTTCAAGGTTAAACGTGTAATGGTTCGAATGTACTCGTTAACTCTTTGCTGAAAACAATTTTAAAGTGGCTTAAATGTCTTTCAAAAACAGAAAGCCTGGGCTCCGGTCCATGAAGCGATCTCAGCGCTAAGGTTATCGTACGTCTTTGTTCAAGAATGTTTTGTTCAAGCGTTGAAGTCGATTTGTGGAACAGGATCTTCAGCCTTTGCGAAAATGAAGCTGACTATAAGTAAATACCTATACAGATTGTATATTTTTCGGGATTCAATTTATACATATTGTCTTGGACAAGTGTGCTCAATCAATCAATCAATCAGTTTACTCGGCAATAAGGCCTCAGACGCACGTACAGATATATACAATTTAGTTTCACAGCAAGTGCTGCATGAAATAATATTTACAGGTAAGAGGAACGAAGGCAGAAAGCATCTTTAAAATAATCGTCTAAGTTCTCAAGACGGTTTACATCAGAAGAGTTTAACATTCTAACCAGTGTATCTTTACGATTATTACCAGTAATGATGTCTAAATATGGGAAATATTTTGAGCGAATATCTTCATAAATAAGGCAAACAAGAATGAAATGAATTTCATTTTCAACTGCCCTTAACTTGCACAATGGACAAAAGCGGAGTGTCTTATCGATGACGTCCCTCCTTCCTGTGTTATGCATAACACCCAGTTCTCCAATACGTAAAAGGGTGAACATACGTCGCTTTTCTTTTGATAATACATTTAATAGATACGGTTCAAGTGATAATGATGTCTTAAATAATGAACACAGTTCTAATTTCGAGCATTCAGACACTTCAGAATAGCATGTTTGTGCATGGCAGTCCTTAAAGGGCAAGTTCACACGGAAATTAACCTATTTTTCTTGTACTTTTTCCACATTAAAAGTGTTAACCTAGAAGTGTCATAGACAAAAATATAAAAATATCACAATTAATTAACATATTTATCGCATTAAAACGATTTATATTTTTCACATTTACCAAGTGTTCTATTTCCACAACAAAAACACCATGGCTTATGCCCCTTGCAATATGACGTCATTGGTGCCAATTGATAAACATTATGACGTCATCATGCTTTGTTAGAGCCGCTTCACGTGGTGTAGGTCTAGGTGTGTGATTCTAGCGTCTCAGATGCCAGCCAGCATAGTGTTATGCTGAGTCACCACTGCGCCGGAGTGTGTCGTAGGCCATGTTGTTTTACCGCAAACTGGTACTTGATATCTTTTGCGTTGAGAATAGACAGGGACCCAGTTGAATTGACACCAATTACGTCATAATCTAAGGGGGGTAACTCAGGCCTGTTTAGCTCGAAAAACGAAGGCCTCATAACGGCATATCATTTTCACACTATTGTGAGCTTCCTACTTTCACTGTGAAAAAAATGAGTGTATATTTTCAAACACAGATACTAACTAATTCTAAAATTGCGTTTTGTTTAGAAAAAGAAAGAAAGTGATTTTTGCGTGTACACTTCCCCTTTAACCCTCAGTATAAACTCACTTATAAAATATTCAGGATCACCAGCACCTTGAAATTCTCACACATGTCCGAAGCCATGCAAATATAACATAATCTTAATAGCAGAAATCCATGTATTCCTATCTACGACATCAAACCTAATTACTAACATATCGTAACACCGTTTTGGAAATCTCTCTTGAGACATATTAAGAAGCTTAAACCAGTATCTTCAACATCTCGTGTAGGTGTGCTAGAAACAGTGATGTCATTGTACGGAACATAAACAAAATTCTTTCAGGTTTTAATAATTGTATTTCTTTTACAACCCCAGAGACCAGAAGCTTCAAAGAATAACGAGGACAAGAAATATTCTTGAGAATTGTTGGAGGCTCATGATGTGTTATTCGACATTGAATCTCGTAAACTAATTTGTGATGACTGTTGACATATGTCCTCGCCCTCTATTTAGAAATGATGTCCCCGTGAATTAATAATAGCATCACATCCTTCTGTGAACTACCTATAAATATGCATACTTGTATTCTATGTTTTTAAGATATTTATTTTACGCAGTAACAAAGGATAGGATTTATTCCTAGAGTCGGATAAAAATGTTTGTTTGAGAAGTAAGATATTCACTATGATTGGTCACAGATCGCTTGGGTAAAAACATTGACTGAAATGTTTGGGGGCATAGTCCGAACTGTCTTCCTGACGTTGAGGTTTGAAGCACTTAATATATTCACTGGTTCTTTTTTTAGAATACCCACTCCCTTGTATCTATTCCTCAATCTTTGCCTTTAGAAACTCCATTGTCGCAGCAACACAATATGTCAATATATTTTTCATTAATGCTGAACAAAAGTGATATTCCCGTAGTGATACCAGCGAGGTGTTCAATACATCAGTGGGCAATTATCCTGGTGTTGTGTAATTAAGAAATAAACTTTGCTCTACCCTCGTGTGTAGTGTATTAAGTACAGTTTTCTCTGAACTATTATAGTTCAGCTTTGACGTTATAATGTTATAATGCCGTATTTAAGATTAACCTGATGTTTCCTTGGAGCTGGGTCGAATCCGTAATGTTTCTTCCCAATGTAATACTATTCTAATATTTGGCGATAGATAGATTAAAGAAACTATTTCACTGAAAATAGATGTGGATGCGCCATCTTGCTTGACGGTAATGAAAGAACGATGTTACCAAGGATACGATAGATCACGGGGGAGGTTATTTGAACAGCACCATGACATCAGTCCATTATGACGTAAGTCAAAACGTGTACTTAACCGCAGGATAAAGAGGTGAGGTAAGGTGAAATGGGGTTTAACGTCGCGTCCAAGATTATTGCACTTTTGATAGCGACGTGCATGTACGTGTGTGTGTTTGTGTGGGTGCTTGTACTAGTCCGGTGGTGAGGTGAAATGGGGTTTAACGTCGCGTCCAAGATTAATGCACTTATATAGCGACGTGCATGTACGTGTGTGTGTTTGTGTGGTTGCTTGTACTAGTCCGGACTGATGCTGATTTATAGTGCTAGCCCACTGAGATACCATGCCGCAGTTTAACATGAATACCCCACTCAGACACAGTATACTGACTCCGAGCTGACCAGTCCTTGTTTTAGCACCCTAATGCCGAGCGCCAGACAGGGTAACAACAAGTACCATCTTTTAACGTCTTTTGGTATGACACGGCCAGGGATCGAACCCCGGACCTTCCGCTCTCCGGGCGGACGCTCTACCACAAGACCACGGAGGCGGTCCGCAAGAAGAAAAACAGTCGGCGCCTTTGATCTTTCAGCAGAGCATCTTAGAATATATGTATGAAGACTTGATGAACTAGTTTGATTTTGAATGCACAATCGTTTTCACCTTTTATCTATCAAGTCTATCGGGGGCATATTTTCTGGAAATGGGAAATGTCTGACCTGCATCATTACTGAATCTAAAGGGGAACATTTTCAAAGCAAAAATGTTTTAAAACATTCTTCAGTAGTATGGTCTCGTGGCCTAGATAACAAGTTAGCGTCATCACGGGTGACAATTTGACCTTATATTTAAAAATGGAAAAGCGATAAACCTTCTCCTTTATCATAAACCTCCACTTAAAGTCCATTGTACAATTCGTACATTATCATGAGTATGTGTTTATGAATTAATGCTGAATAATGATGATACCAAATGTTTGTAAAAAGTGAGCGTATCCTTTCCCATCGTTTACACACATCACAAACACATGCAGAAGGAAGTCAGTTGTTCACCTGAAAAAAACATGGGAACATATGGTACAAGTCAAATAGAGAATTGCATCAGACATCATTTTGGTCACTCATACCCCAAACTTGGAAAACGTTTTGAAAGCTTTACCTAAAATTTGGATTTTGTAACCGTGTTCAAATAACTTTATTATATTCTTGGTCGCGACGTTAAACTTCATTTCACCTCACCTCAAACAACGTTTGGTCAAGAATCGTATGCTCTTTGAAAGCAACTTCGAATGAGCATGCTCGATCGTTTTGCATGAGTGAGTGGGTGAGTTGGGTTTAACGCCGCTTTTAACAGTATTACAATTATGTCAAGGCGTGTCAGATTAATATGGGAGGAAAGCCCGAAATGATGCAGGTCTCAGACGTTTACCGCTTCGGTGAAACCCACGAACACGGGTATGGTGCTGGCAAACCTAGAAACCAAATCGGGGCGAACCGGGATTCGAAACCACAATCTTAGGTTTCTGGCGTACCCAAGGGACGCAACTCTGCACGGCGAAACGCGGGTCCTCAGACGACTAGGTCACCCGTGCCCGCGATCGTTTTCAAATCTGGACACCAAAGGCTGGAGCAGTTGGATTATTGCTCGACATAAAGGCTTGACCAGTTGGATTATTGCTCGACATAAAGGCTTGACCAGTAGGATTATTGCTCGACATAAAGGCTAGACCAGTTGGATTTTTGCTCGACATAAAGGCTGGACCAGTTGGATTATTGCTCAACATTAAGGCTTGACCAGTTGGATTATTGCTCGACATTAAGGCTTGACCAGTGGGATTATTGCTCAACATAAAGGCTTGTCCAGTTGGATTATTGCTCGACAAAAAGGCTGGAGCAGTTGGATTATTGCTCAACATAAAGGCTTGACCAGTTGGATTATTGCTCGACATTAAGGCTTGACCAGTGG